TCACATGGACCCGCTCCTCCAGCCTCTCCAGGTCCCTCTGGATGCACCCCTTCCTTCCAGCGTGTTGACTGCATCACTCAGCTTGGTGGCATCCATAAATTTGCTGAGGGTGCACTCGATCTCACTGTGGTGTTGGTAAAAATATTAAATAGTATTGGTCCCAGTACAGACTCTTGAGGAACACCACTTGTTGCAGGTTTCCACTTGCACATTGAGCCACTGACTGCAACAATTTGGATGGGTCCATCCAGCCATTTCCTTATCCATCTATAGTCCATCCAGCAAACCCTTATCTTTCCAAATAAGAGGCATGAAAGTTGTACGGGACTGTGTCAAAGGCCTTACAGAAGTCCAGATAGATGACATCCATAGCTCTTCCTTTGTCCACTGATGCAGTCACTTGATCACAGAAGACCACCACCTTAGTCAGGCACGATTTACTCTTGGTGAAGCCATGTTGGCTGTCTCTCATCACCTCCCTGTCATCCATATGTTTCCTCATGTCTTCCAGAAGGATCTGCTCTGTGATCTTACTGGGCATGGAGGTGAGGCTGACTGGTCAGTAGTTTCCAGCTTGGGACTGGAACAGCCTTTCTAGCCAATCTCCTCCCTGGTGTTTTTTAAAACAAGTTTCATTTTTATTACTTTAAGTTCGTGGAACACTATGGAAAATGTTTCAACTAACTCTGTAGATCCCTAGGGAGGATCCCTTAGGGTTTGCTCTGAGACCAGATTGCTCGTGGGGGCTGCCAGGTCTGTGCTTCCTCTTTATATTTGGCTTTAAAAAATACCCTACATTGCGTAAATGTAAGTGCAAAAATAAACAGGCACATCAGTGGAAACCTGCAAGACACAGAAGAAAAGTTTTAAGGCAAGAAAGGTTTGGTTTTTAAAATTTCCTTGGAGGGACTGTGGTCAGGATCGTGTTTAATTTTTTATTGAAAAAGCTGTGTCTTTGCCAAAAAAGATCCTTCTTCCCAGCTTTGTCAGGGAGGTCAGTTATGAATTAGTTTGAAATCGTACTTTGCTTGATTATGTTGGTTGGTTGTTGTCGGTAAAGAATTGCAGGTCGCAAAGAGGTGAAGGTTTATTAATCCGAATAATGAGCGAGCGCGGGAGACTGACGGCTGAGAGCCGCGTTGTGTGTGCAAAGTCACCGTCACGGTGATGCTCAGCCGTGCTGCGGCGGGCAGGTGTCAGTCACCTGCAGATAACTGTGCAGGGTGGAGGGTTTGGGGGCTTTTTTTCCTCCTCCTTCATTGATAATTTACAAAGCCCATTTACAAGGGCCCATTTTACAGACCCGTTTACAAAGACCTGTAGTGACAGGACAAGGGGCAATGGCTTTAAACTGAAAGAGGGGAGATTTAGATTAGATCTAAGGAAGAAATTTTTCACTGTGAGGGTGGTGAAGCACTGGAACAGGTTGCCCAGAGAAGTTGTAGATGCCTCATCCCTGGAGGTGTTCAAGGCCAAGTTGGATGAGGCTTTGGGCAACCTGGTGTAGTGGAGGGTGTCCCTGCCCATGGCAGGGGGTTGGAACTGGATGATCTTTGAGGTTCCTTCCAACCCAAACCATTCCATGATTCTATGATTCTATGATTCTGTGATTCTAAAGCCTCCTCCCTTCTCCCAGCAGGACCTGGGAACATGACCTCACTGTGCTGGTGGCCATGAGGCATCCCTGCTCCCCTGCTGCGCTCAGTGCCAGCGGGAGTGGAGCAGACATCCCACGGCGGTGGTGGGACACGGGGAGCCTGGCCCGTCCTATTAAACATCATGTTTGCCCTGAGCACCACTCTGCTCCGGGGTGATGCTGGCCGCAGTGGCAGTGATGTTGTGGCGCTTCAGCTTCCTGTTGCTGAATGTTACTCGCCGTGAATGGTTAAATAGATTTGAGTGAGTCACTTAAACAGACGCCATGGATGTGAAAATAATTGTCTGGGAAGCCTGTGCCTGCCAGGTCTCCAAGTAATCCTCACACGTCCTGTGACTCAAAGCCAGCCAGAAGGAGTGTTTTCTCCCTGCTGCTCAGTTGGAAATGTTTTGAGGGAAGGCAGCCTAGCTCCCTGTCTCACATCCCCTCCATCCGTCTGCGTGGTGCTGTCCCCTTCCTGAGCAGCCAGCACAGCGGGATGCTCACCTGCACTCACCGCTTGCTCTGTGCATCCTCAGCGATAGCATCACTGCAGCGTGTCCCTCAGCCAGAACTGACAGGGAGAAGGGAAAGTCCGTAGGAGTGAGTTATGTGAAATTGTTTCATAGGATCGAAGGTGGATATGGATGGGAAGGGACCTGGTCCCTGGTCCAGTACTTTCCAGCAGGTCATTAGATCAGGTTGCTCAGACCTTCACCCACCCACATGCTGAATATCCTTAAGGATAGACAACCCACAGCCTCTCTGGGTCCAGTGTTTGACCGCTTTCATGATGACAGTTTTTATTCCTAATATCTAATTTGAGTTTTGCTTGTCCCAGCTTGGTCCACCACTGCTTGTCCTGTTCCTGTGCACCTCCAAGCTTCAGCAAGAAGCTGAAGGTCTCCTCCAAGGGGCAGGAGGAAGTCTGGCTCCAGCTTCTCTCCACCCTCCTGCTGAGCAGTCGTAGGCAGCAGTAGGAACCCCCTTCGCTTTCCCCTTTCCAGGTGAACAAGCCCAGCTTTCGGCCTGTCCCTGTGTTCGTGGCAGCCTGTTGTCCCCCGGCGCTCCTGGGTCTTTGCCGCTTCCCCGTCGGCTGCCCTCCGCCTCTCCGAGTGCAGGGAGTTACTCAGCCCAGGCTGGTTTGTTTCTTCATTAAAGACAAGTTCTTTCAAGAATGGGGAAAAAAAAAAAATTAGTCACTTAGATGAGAAGTCAAACTGAACATGTCTTTTTCCTGCGTTTGTGCTTATTCTCCAGCAAATACATGATTGTACCACTTGCCCCAGTGAGGCCGCTGTGTTGGCTTGCTCAGAAATACCTGGAGCCTGGGGTGAAGGTATTTGCAGATGTGTTCGTTTTCTCCTTCTCCCAATAGTGCTGAAGCTCTTAGCTCTGAGTCAGAAATGTGTACAACTGTGGATAGGATGTGACCTTCCCCCAGCACATTCCCATCATCGTGATTTTCTAATTATGCCTGTGACTGCCAGCTGGGAGCGTACAGCATCGGAGCTACCGCAGCCATTGAAATGACTCAGTTAATGTGCCTAGAGTCTATTAAACAAAGTTTTATTTAATTAAGTAAGTCTTGATCTCATCAAAATCTAGAGGGAGCATTAGGGTGGCAGCATTTCTGAGAAATCATATTTGAATGGCAGGTGGTTTGTACTTCCTTTAGGCTGGATCTTGAGATATTGCAATGTGCTGGTCACACTGCTGAGTTTTAGGGTTGAGGCACGGCCATGTCCCTGGCAAGCCCATGGGTGAGCACAGGGTGTTCTGTACCACGCAGTATGAAGGGCTGTGCAGGCAGAGCACGATTGGGTACCTGTGTGCTGGGCATGGGTGCTGTGCCCTGTGCTTGGTGGGGTCCGGCAGTTTCTGAAGCACAGAGTGGCGAGGGGCACACTGCACATCTTGGCTCCTTTGGGAACACTCTGGTTTCTGGGAGAGGAACCTGGCTGAGACCATAGACTCACAGAATGATTTGAGTTGGAAGGGACTTTCAAAGATGATCCAGTCCAACCCCCCTACCATGGACAGGGACATCTGCCACTAGACCAGGATGCTCAAAGCCCTGCCCAATGCAGTGCTCCAGGGGCGTTTCAGGAGAGCAGAGCAGAGGGTGAGCTTCCCCTCCCTTGGCCTGCTGGCCACGCTGCTGGTAATGCGTCCCATTTGTCACCTACAAGTATTCCCCAGTCCTTCTCTGCAGGGCTGATCAAGGAGCTTCATTCTGATCTGGGTTTGCTGAGCATGGCTTGTGGCTTGGAGATGCTGCTGCAGTGCAGAGAAAAGTCCTACAAGACACGAGTGCCTGGAAATGTTGCAATGGTTGTGCTGTCAGTGGTGGTGAGCTCAGAGCTGATTCCTGGCACTTGCACATGGGAGTAAGGGCAGGTAGCCCTGTGCCAGATCCCGTTGGTCAAGCAGGGCTGGGAACATCCGCAGCTGATTTACTTCTCTTGAGTGTGGCATATGCTGTAGTTTCCTCTCTCTGTAGTTGAGTCAATAGTCCTGGGAGTGCAGGAGACTCTTGTAAAAGCCCTTGGAGTCTTGGAGAAGTGGCCGTGGGGAGATGCCGAGACTCACCAACGGGCTCTCGACAGACTCTGTGCTTGTCAGGGCTCTTCTCCCAGTGGGAGGCACATGCAGGTTGTGCTGGTGCGTGTGGGATGTCCGTGGGGACAAGGAGAAAGGGACTTGCATATACTTGTTTTTATTTGCAACTCCTGTGCCCCTTTCCTCTTGAAATACAAGAACTGCTTTACACCCTCCCAACACTGCTGGGCTGCCCAGAGTCTCTCCTGAGACATGGGCTGTGGGACTGGGGACATTTCTGGCCACTTCAGCTCCTACTTTTCCGCCAAAAGCAGCAAATTCAGACTGGAGAGTGAACACACGCACACTGGCTGTTAGTCAGGGGTGCCAGTGGAAGATGTGACCTTTCATAACACCCTAGGGAGGGCTGGCTGGCGTGGCAGGAGCTTGAGGAGATCAGCCCTTGGTGAGCAGAAGGGTTTTGATGTCCAGCAGTGGGTTGCTCTCCACTTCAGGAACCAGCACTGTGGATTGTGTATCCCTTCCCTTCCACTTTCTGCAGAATGCTGGGAATGGGGCAGGTTAGGGCTGTGCGTGTCCCGCAGAATGGCTCCCTGGCTCCCTGCTTGCCCAACCAGCAGCAGGGTTATTTCCAGGCTCAGGACTGTGAGAAGAGTCCAACAGGGTGTGTGGTGTAGAAGTGTTCCCAGTCTGGAAGTGGGAGTGCTTATAGCTTTGGTCTCCACGTGCTGTGGGGCCAACCAGCAGATTTTAGCATGTGTGTCTCCATCACATCCGTGTTTGCTCTTTTCTTTCTCCCCAGAAACGAAGGAGGAGCTGGAAGAGCTGATGTCCGACATAAAGAAGACGGCGAACAAAGTGCGCTCCAAGCTAAAGAGTGAGTGTTCGCCTGCGGTGCTGCTGTGGGGCTCTGCCCGCTGCGCTCCGGCTCTGCAGCCCCAGGCAGCGGGTACCACGGCTCCCGTCCTGGGCAAGGTGTGCAGTGGGCAGGGAGCATTGCTGCCCTGGGTCCTGCCACTGCGCAGCACTTCCACTTGTCCCCCATGACCAGAAATGCTGTGGGGCCCTGGCCATTGTCTCAACCCTGTGCTGGCAGCAGCTGGTGTTTCACTAGGATCAAGACTGTTTTGGTGATGGTTTGCTCTAGGTAGGAATGGGCAGGTTACAGACACACAGCCTGGTGCTGTCTGTGTGTCCTTTGGCAACCTGAGCTGGCGTTGGGAGGGGTCACGGAGCTGGAGGGACGGCCAGAAGTGGCATCTGCCATTGCTTTGCAGGAATCACCTGGGGATGGGCATCACCTTCCCTCCCCCAAGTATCCTCTAGCTGCTTTTATTTGCCCTCTGTGAATTTGCCCCCATTCCCAGGATGGAGGTGAGGGAACGGGGCCATGAGCACCTGGTGGGCTGCAAGCAAGTCCCATGCCACCAGCACTGGCAGGTGTTGGGCTCTGCCGGTGAGCCTCAGCTCTGAGCAAACACATGGCATGGCCAAAGGTTGCGTTGCCGCAGCTGAGTGGTTGAAGAGGTGCCATTATGGGACTTGCAAGCCTCCAAGAAGAGCTGGCTCTTTCCTGGTGAGCCATATTGGCACGGGCAGCCTAGGCAGGTGCAGCACCAAGGGGTCCCATCTGGAGAGCCATGGTCCCTCTTCCCCGTGCAACTCCGGCTGGGCGAGGTGGTGCTGCCAGCTCTCTGGCGGTGTGCTGGCATGGGGCATGCTGCCCTGCGCCTTGTCCTTCTCGCTGCCCCTATCCTACTCCTGCCAGACTAGTCTTGCTTTTCCATCTCCAATGCAGGCTGCATCGCTGGTAGCTCTGCCCAAGGCAGCGTAGCTGGACAGGCAGGAGGCACCACTGCCCCCAGACATGGGCTCTGTGAGACAGGTGGTGGGGAGGAAAGAGGCTGTCGGGCTCGGGGAATGTTGTCCTGTCTCATCAGCACACCCTGTTGTCTTGTCATGCCTCTGCCTTGGGCAGTGTAGGGACAGAGCGTGGCCAACGTGACAATTAGTTTCCACCATCAGAAGAGTCAATCCTTCGACAAGCAGGGACAGAGAACAACATGACTGTCAGCCCACCGACAGCCGGGGTTTGCTGGAACACTTGGATGAGTCCAAAAGCCCAAGACTGGACCCCAGGGGATTCAGCAGGTCATTGAGGACAGCAGAATCTTGAGGCTGGAGACAGGTCACCCCAGTGCAGCTTGGATTTGCCTGCAGTTGTTTTGAACATCAGCCTGGGATTTGGTTGAGATTGTTGCAGGAGACCTCGCTGTGTCTGAAGGGTGGGAGAGGAGCTGGTGCTTCCCTCATGACAGCAGCGTTCTCCCTTATCCCAGGGTTTCATGAGAGCCCTGCAGTCATGGAGGACTTAGATACGGCTGGAGCTGTTTGTTAAGTTTGTCACCACTGGCGTGGCCATGTCCCATGTGCATGCCGCAAGGAGACTTGTATGTCCATTTTCTCCTTGCTGCCCTCTTTTCCTGACACGTGATCTCAGCTAGACCCAGGAAGGAGAGCTAGGGGCCATCTTACCCATTTCATAGTCCAGGAGATCCCTTCCCCTGGACCAGAGCCTCCCCGGCCATATTGGCATCCCTGGTGTCCAGGTGGGGACAGGGTGTAGCCTGTGCAAAACAAAAATCCTTTTCCATAGACGTTTTGTTCTGTGTTTTTTCTGGGCCTTTGAGAGCCTGAAGGATTGCAGAACAGGCTCCGATTCCCGTTTGCTTCTTCCAGAAAAGACTCACTGGTATCGTATTTACCTGGAGCAACAGATGATTAGTCCTTGTGCTTTGTCCCACATCGCCTCGTGGCCAGCACGATCAATGAAAGAAAACAGTCAGGACTGATCAAAAACACCATCTGCTGACAACAAATTGACTTCTTTAGGACAGACATTGCTCATGCAGTGGCTAATTCTAATTACCAGCTTCTTGGGAAAATGTGATTTTATTAATTACCATAAATGCACAATGTTTGCCAATACTGTTCCTTGGGAACAGGGAACAGTTTATGACAAGTGTGGAGGAAGACCAATTGGTGATGAAATACACTGGGCAGGCAGCAGCCAGTGCGCTCGCAGGCAGGGGGGGCACAGGAGAAGGGCCGTGGCACAGGAGAAGTGCCGTGGCCGTCTGGCTGTGTGGGATGAGACCTTTCCGATAAGCTCTGGATATAGATGCTTGTTCCAGGAGAGAATAGGAGGCAGTGCAGAATTTGTGCTGATGTTCTCCAGCACTTCCCCAGAGCATGCTGTGCTCTTGGACACCCTCCACCAGAACCGTGAAGGGTTCCCCAGGCCCTCAGTCTTCCTTACAGCGCTGCTGCTCTCTGCAGGGTGGTACTGTGGGGCCACCCGTGCTAACCAGCACGCAGCAGAAACACACATGCCCACTGTGGTGGTGTCCTGCACTCTGCCCTGCTGCGCTGGATGGTGATGGGGAGCCACTGGGCAGCTCCAAGGAATGAGGACCCTGTGCTGCAGGAGAAACCTGCCCCATGCTGGGCTCGTGGACCTGCTGCAGGGTGGAAGGTGCTGGGGACAGCTGGGCTCAGAAGACTGTGGGACATCTGCATTGGGAATGGGATCTTCAGCCAAACTCAAGGGATGCCACCAGCTCACACCAGGTAGTCCACATGGAGATATGTATCTCTGCATGCTGGGCCAGCCTGGTGATGGGAGCTTGCTTCCAGGATTTTTAAGTTCTTGAATTTAAGTCTTTGAATTAGCATGTCCTGAGCCGGCCTTGAGGAGCAGATTTGCACTGCCTTACTCTGTACCAGACCTTCTGCCTTGAAACCCTGTGCCCTCTCCCTGCTCAAACCACGGTGAGACGCTGAGCAGGGCAGACCTTCTCCCTGCTTTGATTTATGGTCTTCAGGCAAGTGAGGAATTCATCTCACTGAGTTGCACTACTGGGCATCATGAAAAGGGCAACCCTCTGCTTTGCTGCAGAGGACTGTTCAGCAAGATGAAGCACACTCTCGCCAGCCTGGTGGGTCCTCCTTGCCCAAGGCCAGGCAGCTGCCAGTCCTACTATTTTTAGGGTCCCTGGAGAAGTCTTGAGGTTTGGTATTTTGCAGAGACATTTTAGCTCTGGGCTCCCTCTCCTGCCTAGCAGGGAGAGGACAGCACTCCACAATTGCGGAGATCAGACCCGAGCGTTACATCGATTTCGTACTGAAATCCTCGCTTACCAGCCGGGGGGTGACGGGTGCTGCCCTTGACAGCACCAAGTCTCGGCCGGTAGCCAGGCACTGGGTGCTTTGCAATAATGAAACGGGGCTTTGCTGCCAGTCCAGGCTAAATCACGGGCTAGAGTCAGGAGCTGGGGACTGCTCGGTGCCAGATGCTCCTCGATTTTCAGGCTTCAGTCTTTTACAGTCCCTTTGCCAAACAATCCCTTCTCCTTCTCTAAACAGTGCAAAATAATCTGTGTTGTCCTTCTACTCTAACCAGGTATTGAGCAGAGTATTGAACAAGAGGAAGGACTGAACAGGTCATCTGCTGACCTGCGGATAAGGAAAACTCAGGTGAGTCTCTGCCCTGTGGCACTGGGAAGGGGAGGATGGGGAGTGGCTGGAGGCCATTGAGGGATTCCAGGAGGTGATGGGAGAGGAGAACTGTGCTTGGCTTTAGAGCAATCAAGTTCTGGTGTGCAATTAGTGGGAAAGTAATGCAGCACATTTCCAAATAGATCAGTGAAAAAGCCAACGTGAAGGACCTGTGACATAGGTACGTGCAGAGGGAGCTGTGGAGGGGAGGGCAGCGTGCATCTGCGTCGTCCTTGTGTGCAAGTCTGGGCATCTGCATGGACAAACAGGCAGGTGGGTTTCTGCACATCCATGTTAAGCATCTCACTAAAGGTGATTTTGACTGGAGCAAAATTACCCTCTGAAGTGCCAGCTTTGGAGGCAAGAACGTTTGCCTGCAATGTGTTCAGAAACCCAAAGTCTCTGTGTGTTTCTGCAGAGCCAAGAAGGATGCTTGAGCAGCTCGTAAATGAGACCAAGGCTTACTGATGCAGCTGGGTAACTCACCTAAAATTTCACTTAATCTAAGAAGACGGGTGGTCTTTCAGAGAGTATTTGGAAATGTTCTTCCCTGTTGGGGCTGTGGTTGCCTCTCCACTGGGCATTGATGTGGCTTGGCAGCCCAGGATACGGTAGGCTTTTGAAGGGTTGACACAACTCTTCCTCTTGTTCCCATGAGACCACCAATAACTAGCACCTTCTTTTGATGGACGTCTTAGCAGGGTTATCCAGGGGCAGGGGTAGAGATGGGGTGCACATCTATCTCTTCCACCTGGGTGGTCCCAAGGCTGCGTTATGCTCAGTTGTGATGAACTATTGTGCTGCTCGTGCTTCTGTCTGCAGCCGCGGGATGGAGTCTGTTGGCTCTACAAGAGATGGGGATTGAGGGACATGGGACTTGTCCATGGCTACAATGGTACGCACCGGAAAGTGGAAGTCACCGACTCTGCTTTGAGCTGGAGGTTGGGCTGCATGACCTCCTGAAGCCTCTTCCAGCCTGAATCATCCTACAATTCTGAGTAACTCCCCTCCCACCTCCCTAAAGTCAAGAAATAGCTTAGAAATATTTAACAAAAGAAGTGTTGGAGTATCTTGTAGAGAAGCTTTTCTCTCTCAGGAGGAGCTGATTGCGGTGGGAAGGTCTGATTGCTGCAGATGGCCCTGCTGAGCACTGCTCAGGTCCTGGCCTGAGGCAGCTGGAAAGCGAGGACAGGTCATGAACATCTCTGATATCCGTGGTAGGTGCTAGTGGGAAGACTTTGAGAACACCAACAGAAAGAGTGCAGTCAATGGAGTCGCGGCAAGGTCAACAACATGGCAGAAAGTGCCAAAAAAATATTTCCTTGGGGAAGCAGCATGTAGGCACGATTTGGGAAGGCAGTGGAAAGCACTGGGGAAGTGCCGAGGGAAAGGACTTTGAGGGGGAGCTGGGGACAGGGAAGGCGACTGAGCTTCATACACCCCTCATACAGCCTGTGGCATCTTCACAGGTCTTGAGTTGACTCAGAAGGATTTGACTGCGGATGACCTGAGGTCTCATAAGACAATGTTACCCGTGGTCTCCAGCTGCTTTTGAAACCAGGGCTTGAATTCCTAAATAGTGTGTACTTTAGGAAAATAGGACATGCTTTTACTGATTTTCTGAAGTCAGAGCTATGCAATTGTCTTGGACATCCCAGAACTGCAGAGCATGTCAGGATGCAGGCAGGAGAGACCAGGCCATGGCTCTAGTGGCCTCTGTTGGATCACAGTAAAAAAAATCAGGAGTCAAGTTAATCCCAGGAAGAAGGGAGGGGTGAGGGAAAGGTGGTTTAAAGATTTAGTTTTTATTTCTCATTATCCTACTCTGATTTGATCAGTAATAAATTAAACTGATTTCCCCAAGTTGAGTCCGTTTTGCCCATGACGGTACTTGGTGAGTGATCTCGATCCATGAGCCTTTCGTTAGATTTTCCCTCCCCTGCCCAGCTGAGGAGGGGAGTGATGGAGCGACTTTGGTGGGCACCTGGCATCCAGACAGGGTCGACTCACCACAGGGAGTGAAGACTTGCTGGCCCCAGGTGAAACAACCCCATTTCCTAGCTTCAGTTAAATATTTTTGTTTAATGAGTTTCTTTCAAATGCAAGGTACATTTTGATGTGCTTTTTATTTACTCTGAATATTCAAGTGGTTTTATTTAATGACTGAAAGCCATTTAAAATGCTTTTTCCAGCCCATTTTGCATGAAACTCCATGTTCCTTCAAAAATCAAATGCATTTTTTAGACACGTGGGATGCCCGTGGGAACATAAAATAACCATCTGACAAAATAAACACTAAGTTAAATAACTTCTTGAGTAAAAGAGGTATGAGGTGGTGTACTGATTAGCAGAAAGGGGTGTCACTCAACACCCAGGCTATGTTTGGCTGCAGATCAACATATGCTGATACTGTTCAGCTGAATGAGAATGAACTGGATTTTAGGAAAACAATTTTGAAAAGACAGAAGAAGAGTCGCTCGGATAGCACATCATGTCCTTGCTGGATTTCCAGCCGTGATGCTCAGGAGCCGTTTTGACCTTGCTTTGGGCCGGGCACCCCTCAAGCAGAAGCTGTCTGCTGAAGCTGGAGCTGCCAGGGGGCTTTCGCGTGAGGTCTGCCAGCAGAGGAGGAATGAGATGGGCTGAGGCTGGGGCTCTGCCATAAATACCGAGCTGCTGATCGCTTAGAATAGCTGCAAAGCAAACGCCTGTATAACTTCAAGATGTCTCCAGTGCCATCTCCTGGAGGTAGGGCCGTGTTGGCTGGGGCTGCTCTGGGTGTACCAACCCCCGGTAGAAGTGTCCGAGTGCCGGCGTGCACTGGGCACGTCTGACCCTGCGGAGATGCTGCGCTGCACCGGTGCCGCCCTGCGCAGAGGCTTTGAGAGCTGCTGCAGCTCGGCAGGGCTGGGCACAGTCCTTCGGTTCAGCTCTGGGAGCTGTAACTCCCTAAGGGTGAGCTCAGGCTGTGCTGGTGGCTCCCACCACTTGTTGGGTGTCTCTTCATCATGTCAGCCTCTCTGTATCATCTTCTTTCTGATCCTGAGTGTCCTCTTTTCCTGCCCTTTTTCCATCGCCTCTTCTCCTTTCACATTCCACCATTTCTCCATATCTCCTGTTGAAGAAGCACACAAGTGTTTCTTGCTTGACACCGTAGCAGATTTGGCTTTGCTTGAGACTTGTGCACCAAATTTACCTTCTCTGGAAAGGGAGGCTTTCAGCCCTGGAGAGACAGTCTGGTGGATACTGGTGGGTGACAAATGGGACGTGAGCCAGCAATGTGCAGAAAGCCAAGCGTCTCCTGGGCTGCAGCAGCAGCAGCGTGGCCAGCAGGTCAAGGGAGGGGATGCTCCCCCTCTGCTCCACCTTCCTGAGACCCCCCCCTGGAATCTGTTTCCAGCCACCGTTACATCTTTTAGGATGACAGAGCTTCACTCCCACCAAGGGCGACCTGCAACACGCCATTGTCAGCCCTTCCAGCCTGGCGTGGCGAAGGAGATGGGAACACACCGTAGGGAACAGCCATGGTGGGTGAGGAGCTGGCGGTTCTTCATGTTGTGCAAGTGCCATTGGTCAGAGTGAAGCTCCAGCTGTGTGCCTTTATAAACAGCTCGACCGCTCCCAAGAATGAGACGAGGGAAATGCATCCCTTTTTTAATTGCAAGCAAAGCTACCTCCAAACAAAACCTTCCACAACCCCAAACACCAGTCCGAAGGCTTTTATCTTCTGGCAGCCTGTGAAGCTGTGGCTGCCCCATCCCTGGAAGTGTTCAAGGCCAGGTTGGATGAGGCTTTGAGCAACCTGGTGTAGTGAAAGGTGTCCCTGCCCATGGCGGGGGTGGGGGGAACTGGGTGGTTTTTGAAGGTCCCTTCTGACTCAAACTGTTCTGTGAGTCCATGATCCTATGAAACTCAATTTCTGGCATACTGGGGAAAGGGCTGCTTCAAGAGATACAAGTGTTTGGATGGAGGATGCATGTGATGCTCTGTCCTGATCTTCCTGGAACATCTTCAGGGCTGTTTGCTGTGCTCAGCCTGGCAGCCAGGTCAGACAGCAAGTCAGGGCTCAGTGTGAGTGCTCACATGGGGTGAGCTTCCCCCTCGGGGGCGGCAGCCAGCACTGCAGGGGACCCTGGTCAGGTGTAATTCCAAGGTTTTCCAGCATGTTCCCTGGAGAACAGAAAGCAGCCTAGTAAGATGAGGATGCTCTGTGTGTGGGGGCTGATGACTCCACTGCACCACCCGCCCTGGGCTGGCAGCTCTGTGGGCAGCTGCTCGGTTTAGGGCAGGCAGTCAGCCCCGGTGTCCCTGGGGGCAGCACTGCAGGGGACCCTGGTCAGGTGTAATTCCAAGGTTTTCCAGCATGTTCCCTGGAGAACAGAAAGCAGCCTAGTAAGATGAGGATGCTCTGTGTGTGGGGGCTGATGACTCCACTGCACCACCCGCCCTGGGCTGGCAGCTCTGTGGGCAGCTGCTCGGTTTAGGGCAGGCAGTCAGCCCCGGTGTCCCTGGGGGGCTGATGCTCTGGGGAGCCCTCCAGTGTGGGGAGAAAAAGTAGGACTTTGCTTCTGGAATGGGGACAGTTACCCCAGATGTCTCCTGCTCCCCTGGCCCAACCTGTGTGCCCGGCCCCTGGGCTCCCTCCGCTAGCCGTGCCCGTGCTCACAGCTCGCGCTTTGTCACACTCCTCAGAGCAGCTTTTGGGCTAAAAATGCTTTTTGGGCTGCCAGAGGTGCGGAGGGTGCTCAGGGCTGAGCCTTCCTCTGGCTCAGGGTGGCAGGTCTCTCCTTCCCGCAGGACCCTCACCCCGGCTCTCTCTTCCTCTCCCCTCCACAGCACTCGACGCTGTCGCGCAAGTTCGTGGAGGTGATGTCCGAGTACAACGCCACGCAGACCGACTACCGGGAGCGCTGCAAGGGCAGGATTCAGAGGCAGCTGGAGATCAGTGAGTAAACGCGGAGGAGCAGCACAGGGGCTGTGTGCACCGCGGGGCCGCATCCTGCACTGGCTCTCGCCGGGTCAGAGCTGCTGCCGCAGCTGTGCGGAGCTCTCCTGTGAAAACCCGGGAGTGCACGGGGCTGTGTGTGCACCCATGGGAGCAACCGGGACACGGCTCCTGCTGGGAGGTGGACACATGGTGGTACCTTGCATGTCAGTGTCAAACCGCGTCCAGCAAAATTCCTGTCAGATTTTCTTAAGTGCTGCATAGAGAGCACCATAATTAGAGAAATAAGCAAGCAAGTTTTATAGAAACGTGGTCATCTCCCAGCAAAAAAGAACCATACCACCACCATAATTAGGGAAATAAGCAAGCAAGGGAGAAGTCGGGGCATGCAGAGATTAGAAGAGATTTTGCAAATAATCTCCTTGTCAGAGAGGCGGCATGGGTTTTTGTGCTCAAAGTGAAAGTCTGAAGCCTAATCCAGATTTTTTTCCTCACAAGCAAATGGGTGTTTTAATTCCCTTTCAAAACTCAGCGTGAATAAAAAGGTAGGAGATCTTTGAGTCAGAATGGTGTCCTTGAAGGTCATCTGTGGGAATGTCCTTCGTGAGCTGGAGATGCCTGGGAACTTGGCTGCCAGTGGGGTATGGTGGTTTCTGTGGAGGACTAGAAGGAGTCTCAGCTTTGCAAGCCTTTCCTCTGTTAAGATTAGTCTTTATGATGTATAATGATAATAGAAATGTTTCACACTGGCTGAAGGGGAAGGTTGACTGACATGAGGCTCAACAAGAGCTTGATGTTTAATGTGAAGCAGGATGATGAGTGTCACTCAGTCCAGCTGGACTCGTTCATCAGCTAACATCATTCTGTAGGTGATACCCAGCCACAGGGGTGGCTTGTAATGGCATTTAAGGAATTTAAGGTGTCTCTATGTCTCCCTTCTAAGAGAGGAGAAGATTTTAAAGGACTTAGCCAGGTCCTTGCTTGTCTTCAGACCTGAAAGAAACCTTCCTTTTGTTTTTCTGCTCCCAGATTTTGGAAGGACTCTGCTGCTTCGCTTAAATGATGCAGATATAGTAAATTATACTTGTCTTCGCTCTGTCTGTCCTGCCAGGCTGTCAGTGCCTGACACAGCATTGACAGGGCACAAGGAAAAGGCTGCTCAGGACTCACTGTGTTGCAGCAGTTGGATGCACGGGAGGTGTCCTGGTTAGTGATGGTGAGGGACCTGCTTTCCCTTCAGGGTGGAGATGTGGAGCAGGTGCAGATGCAGGATGGGGTCTGTGCTGGGAAGGTATGTGATCCTGTGCACAGTCCTTTGCAAAAGCTCTGTTCCTCTATCAGGGCAGTGGAAAATCTCTTCTTGCAAAAAGGCTCGTCAAAAGCAACAAGCTTATTGAGGTTTTATCAGGAGTGCTTCCTGGGCAGAGGGCTCTGCTTGTCCTGGGGTGTCCCAGCCAACACCATCAGACCCTGCTGCTCCGGGGGCTCTTGAACAGGCTCTTTTGAACAGGGCTCAGCTGGGATATGGCAACTGCACAAAGCTCTGTAAAATCCTCAGTTCTTGTTTTCAGCTGATGAATCCAAAGATAGAATGTGCCGGGAGCTCTGGCAGCAAAGCCAATAAATCACTCGGGTTTTGGAAGTATGAGATCAGGGACTTCTCAGCTGCTCTGGGGAGGCTCCCCAGTGCCCACTGAGCTTCTCTGTCCTAATGGCATCTGCTTCTTACTCTGGAAATGGGACAGTTGCAGAAGAAATGGTAATGTAGAGCCACTGCCCCGGGCCATAGCCACCCCCTGGGGCTCCCCACAGCCCTCTCAGGATCTGCTCCTTCTCTTTATGTAGGCACTGTCATGTCTGTGTGTGCCAGAGGCTGTGCCTCAGTGACCCTCGCCGTCACCCCTGTCTGCCCAGCACATGCTGAGCCCGGGAGCCCATCTGACGTGATGAAGTGGATGTCCTCTCCTCTCCCACTGCTTCTGCCCCAGCCTTAGTTGTTGCCTTCACCGCCCCCGCTACTCACTTGCTCTGCTCCCAAACACACCGTGACCGCAGATGCCATGGGGAGATCATAGGATGTGCCATGTCCTGGCGTTGGTGACAGCAGTACAGACACTTGGTGGCTGTGCTTTGGCTGGACCGTGCCTCCCCAGTGGTGTCCCCGTGTCTGCTGCTGGCAGCTGCGCTCCCCAGGCACGAGCCTCCGTGCTGCCTGCGGTGTGAGGTGTCGCTCCTTCGTCTTTTTCCTCTCTGTTTTGTCCGTTACGAGAAATGACATCTTAGATCTAATAAGGTTTTGCTGCCAGAGAAGTTGAATTTGAGGCTTGGAGGAGCTTTCTATGGTGGGTGTGCAGCTTTGAAGCCATGGAGGTGCTGTGCAAAAGCTGCTTGTTTTTATGAACAGTTTTGTTATGTGTGAGACCAAGGAGCCGAAAATAAAGCATCTGCCATCTCCAAAGACACTGTGAGAATTAATCAGCGCCACTGTGCGAGACCAGGTTAACTGATGTTCAGAAAGGCAAGCTGTGCATGATCCCAAGCTGCTCCTGAGCCACGAGAGTCTGGGGGCTGCCCCGGCAGCTCCTCTGGGCAGCCCTGGGTGGGCCTGGAGCCCCCGATGCTGAGACGGGCTTATTTAGGATTTCTGTCACACTTTCATCTCAGGACTGACCGCGGGATTTATCTGAGCTAAAAATGTCTCATTGAATGGAGATGCCTGTACAGCACTGTAAGTCCCCCAGCTGAGCAGAAGGGGTCCGGAGGGACCTGAGGCAGGTGGCAGCTTGTGACGTGCTGGGAAGGCTTTTGTAGCTGAGACTGCTCATCCCAGCACCACTGCAGCGCTGGACCTGTCTGAGCTGGGGAACGGCCAAGCAGGTCAGGTCACTCGTACCCATTACCTCTGCATGCACAGGTGGATGGGGCAGTGTTATCCATCTCTCCATGAGTTGTATGGATTTGCATCTAATGAGAGCTTGAAAGCCAGATCCAGACAGAGGATCCCAGCCTTGGAAAGCTGCCTTGTCCACGGTGTTTCCGATCTGAGCCTTAGCTGTTGCTTTGTGGGTGCTCGTGCAGCCGGGAGGAGGGACGCTGCGAGCTGAAGGAGCACAGCTGAGCCGTTACAGTTAACTCAGCCGTGGCATGTTGGACTTCGGCAGCCCTGAGGTGCCCGAAATCCTTCCTATTTATAGAGCGTGTGGCATGCAGAATTGGGCAAACTGGCATTCGGCATCAGCGGGGTGATGGGTGTGAGCTGTGGCACCGGAAGATTCCCTGGGAGCTTCCCCAGGGCCCTGCACACTCTGATGGAGCTGTCCTGCCCCATCCCCTGGGAGCTGGTCCATGGGGATGGTCACTCCGTCCAGCTGAGCATCGCGGGGCCAAGGACTGTGCAGTGGCCTCGAGGTGGAAAGTCCCCTTGGTGGCTTCATGTCTTTGCCTGTCCCAGAGCTTCTGCTGGCCCTGCTGCACCATGACCTGTGCATCGTCTCTTGCCGTTCTCTCCTTGCCTGCTCAGGGCTCAGCTGGCTTCTCCCTTTGTGCTGCAGCTCTGCGCTACTTTGCTCATTGGCAAACCTTCTTCTCCTCGGGAAACTTTATTTCTAGAGATGCTAAGTAAGAGGTAGATCTACTCTGGAACTCTCTGGGGAGGCAGAGGACCAGTTCTCGTGATTTTCCAGTGTTTTTCCAAGTTTCAGGGCAGGGGTTTTTCCCCCAGGCTCTTCTGCCTTTGTGGGCACCTTGCATTGACTCAGTCCTTTCATTCCCATTTGTGGCTGTGCAGTAGCTCTGTGGTGATGTGGGAAACAGATCAACCAAGTATCTAGCACAGTTGTCTGATTTTATTGCTGTTGAGGAGCTAATGACAGCCTTTCCAAACCAGCCAGAAGAAGGTGGACTTCCTGGGAAGTCCTCTGGAGTCCTGCAGGTTGGTTATACGGCTTTGGCAAGTGTGCTGGACAGTGTGGGCGAGATGCAGCCTCTGGGCCTTGTGCTTTGGCTCAGCATTAAAGCAGGCTCTTCCTGACCAGCTATGGCCTTTGGCCAAGCCTGCTCCAGCTGGCCGGTTGTTAATCCATGTGATGTCTTTGCTCTCATCCTTTGCCTCGTCGCAGCTTTTACTGTCCGCACGCTCTGCAATAGGGGAACAGTGCAGTGAGGAGGTGGTGAGAGGCGATATGAGAACATTTATCCTGCATCCCATCTGGCCTCTGCCTGCAAGAGACGAGGCATCTGCTGATGCTGATCCCACTGCTTACCCTCAGGGCTGTCTCTAGGGCTTGGACTGGGCAGAGCAAATAGCCTTTGATGCACCGCACCTGGCACGCTCCTCCTTGTCACTCTGCCAGTGACTGCGCGGAGTTGAGCGTAGTCAACTGGAGGGTTTGTAAATTTTTGCTGTTCGAGCCCTTGTTCTCCCTCCCTGGAACCAGGACAGCAACCACTCATGATGGGCGAATTGCTCCTGCAGGAGCTGTGGGGCTGAACACCTCCACAGATGGGGCAGCCACAACTTCTCAGGGAAACCATCCTCATTGTAAAACATTTCTTCCTTATATCCAATCTAAATCTGCCCTCTTTCAGTTTAAAGCCATTGCCCTTTGTCCTCTTGTAAAGTGCCACTCTCCAGCTTTCTTGTAGCCTCTTTGGGTACTGGAAGGCTGCTAGAAGGTCTCCCTGGACTCTTCTCTTCTCCAGGCTGAACAGCCCCAACTCTCTCAGCCTGTCTTCATAGCAGAGGTGCTCCAGCCCTCGGATCATCTTCGTGACCTCCTCTGGACCCGCTTCAACAGCTCCATGTCCTTCTTGTGCTGGGGACCCCAGAGCTGAACACAGTCTCATGAGAGCAGAGCAGAGGGGCAGAATCCCCTCCCTTGACCTGCTGCCCACGCTGCTTTGGATGCAGCCCAGGACATGGTTGGCTTTCTGGGCCACCAGCACACATTGCCAGCTCATGTTGAGCTTCTCATCCACCAGCACTCCCATGTCCTTCTCCTCAGGGCTGCTCTCCATCCATTCTCTGCTCAGCCTGTACTTGTGAGGTTCTTACAGGCCCACCGCTCCAGCCTGTCCAGGTCCCTCTGGATGGCATCCCTTCCCTCCAGCGTGTCCACAACACCACACAACTTGGTGTCATCAGCAAATGTGCTGAGGGTGCACTTGATCCCACTGTCCACTTGGGGCCAAGGAGGAGGGCTGTGTCGCGGTGGGACGGAGGGAGCCCAGTTTCTGTTATGCAGCTGCAGGGCTAAAACTGAGGCAGCCCAGCAACTGCAGCAGTGCCTGCCAGGCCAGCGAGCCCTGCTGAGCCCAGTGTCCTCATGGCCTTGAACTGGCCCAGGATGAGGTTCGCTGCTCTCCATCCCTCCTCCTTCACAGCCCACCAACTGGGTGCTGGTGGCTGTTGGTCCTTTCACACCACTCCTTGTCCTGCAAGAACAAGCAGCTTGACCAGGAGGAACAGACAGGCTTTCCTGGGTGAGCTGGGTCCCTGTGACCCTTAAAAAGAGGGGTCACAGGGCTGACACAGTGCTGGGCTGCGGGATGGCATCCCCTCGAACTGCCCGGTGTGCTCTTGTGGCTCAAAGGTCTGCACTGGTCCACTCTCAGGAGATGCCATGGAGCCAGCATCTGCGGTAGGGCTGTGGGACCTGTAGCCGGGACAGGGAACTCATGGCTGACCCATGTTCTGTCGCTTGCAGCTGGCAGGACCACCACCAGTGAGGAGCTGGAGGATATGCTGGAGAGCGGCAACCCAGCCATCTTCTCCTCGGGGGTAAGCACCGCATGTTGGCCCTGGTCCAAGCCCGGCATGGGCAAAAGCTGACCCAGCCCCCTGGTCCCAGGGAGATGTGGCTGGTGGACATGCTGCCATGGTGGCCCCAGTACAGGAGTGATGGGCAGAGCCCATGCAGGACGTGGGACCTGGATGCTCAGGTCTGTCCTGAGGATGCTGCCAGAGCAGGAACCGCATCCTGGCTGGAGGGTGGAGTGAGAGTTTGCTGCAAAGTGCTGGGCTGGAGGGTCTCCTGCTCTTCTCTCTTTTGGTGCCCCTAGTCCTGGCATCTGAGGAGCTGAGCATGGTGCTCAGTGGCCCTGTCTTCTTGCAGATCATTATGGATTCAAATATCACCAAGCAGGCACTGAATGAGATTGAGACACGGCACAGCGAGATTATAAAACTGGAGAACAGCATCCGAGAGCTGCATGACATGTTCATGGACATGGCCATGCTGGTGGAGAGCCAGGTAGGGAGATGCCACGACCCAGTGGCCAGCTCACCTGGGGAGGCTGGAGGGGGACAGGGCTGCTGGCGTCCCCCTGCCTGGGTGGGTGCCAAGGGGAAAAACTGTATCTGGGACTGACATGGCTCCCACTGGGGCTGAGCTGGGCTCCCCGAGGCCAGAGCCACCCATCCTGTGCCCCAGAGCCAGGAGCTGCTGCATGGCTGGGGTGGGAGGTGCAGTGATGGGCTCTGGAGAAGGGCAGCAGCTGGCTGCCACACAGGTGGAGATATCTCCATCTCTCCCAGAGCACTGGGCCCTGTCAGGTGAGCTTGGGGTGCCGCCAGCCTCGGTGGTCCTGCCAGGCCACCCCTGGCTGTGCTGCCAGCCCACAGCACCTGGTCCTTCAGCCGGGCACATGCTCCGGTGTCTCTGCTCACCCCCCCTTCTTGCTCACCATGCTGCCACGGCCTGAGGAAACATCAGTGGCAGGTAAAGCCCCGCCAAGCCCCTGCTGGTGCTGCATGCTCCACTCTGCATGGCTGCACCCTGCATGTCTGTGGCTCTTGCGTGGCCATGGCGTGGTGGCATTGGTGCCCTGTCTTGCCTGCCTTGGGGGACAGACGTGGGGAATTCACAGCACCCTGCCCCGCTCTAAGGGCTAGACCGTGCCAGCACCCTGTGTTGCCCTGTGGGGTGGGAGGCTCTGAGCTCCTGGCACCAGGAGCAGAGGGGTGCGTGCTCTGCTCCAGGCATGGCACAGGTGGGAAGGAGAAGCAGCAACTTTAGACAAGGCAGCCAGGCTGGCATGTCATGGGCATGAGACAGGGGCAGCAGGAAGCCTCATGGGGGTCAGTACTTGGCGGGGATAACACCAGAACACCTCTGGGCTTGCAAGGCTCTTCAGCATTAGGCTCAGAAATGAGCATTGCAGAGCTGCTGGCTGTGACCCCTTGGCTCTGCAGCCCTGATTCCCTCGGTGCCATGCAGGAGGGCACTTGGGCTTTGAGTTCCCCCAACACCCGCCAACCTTGTTGGTTGCATGAACTGTCAGACTCTGTCTCCAGCTGCTGCAGGACCTGGCTGCTTCCCTGTGCAGTGGGGAGGGGGGCCAAAGGAGGTGGGCAGGCTGGGGGAGCTCACCCCAGTCTGTGTCCCCACATCCACAGGAGTCCACATTCCCAGCCCATCTCTGCAGCTGGGAGAGCAGAGCGGGGCAGGAGTCCCTGTACGGCCCGGCGGGCCAGCCTCAGGGACCCTCGGCTCTCAGCAGGGTGCTTGTGCGGATCAGAGCGGTCATCCCTGCATGTGCATGGCTTTGTGAGCATCTCACATGGCGCTGCTGGTGCTGTCCTTGCTCCCCCACCACGCCTCTTCTTTCAGCAGTGTGCAGCGTGGTGTCAGTGGAGATGCTGTTGTGGCTTTGACATCACCTGAGATATCAAACAGGGTGGCCACCAGGCCAGGAGCAGGCTGGGGAACCCCCTTGACCCTCACCCTTGCTTGCCTGCTGCGATGTGCACCGCTGGGACAGAGCCCGTGGTCTGGAGCCCCCACCCAAGGGTACCTTGGGGCACCCACTGCCTTCAGGTAACTGACTCTCCCTCTCTCTCCTGTGCAGGGCTGCTGGGCATGGTGACATCCACACGGTGCCAGGGAGCAGCAGAGCAAGAAGGAGCTCACATCTGCGTGGGGGCTCTGTCCTCGCTCTACAGGGCGAGATGATCGACCGCATTGAGTACAACGTGGAGCACTCAGTGGACTATGTGGAGCGGGCTGTGTCCGACACCAAAAAAGCGGTGAAGTACCAGAGCAAAGCCAGACGGGTGAGTCATGGCACTGGCTGGGGCCCGTCTTCCCCTGCCTACACTGCTGGCATCTCTGTCCCGG